GTCTGCTCGCTCCGTTGTGCTACTCTGTTTTCCGAGAATTCAGTCAGCCTATGGACCAATCTGTCCTTGCGGCGCGACAAACAAGAAACGGGGCAGCATTGCCCAAAGGGTCCAAAGTACCTATATGGTACAAAGTATGGTTTCTGTAGCCCTTATGGTTTGGGTAAGTATACCCCATATGGGTACTTAGGACCCTTCGGGTTGGTTAAACCCAGCAAGCCCAAGCTTCTTAATCTTTCGTTGAACCCACGGAGCTTTGACTTTGACGCATTTCAAATCCACGGCATGCACCAGGGAGATTCCGTTTCCCGCACAGTAGTAGGATGTTCAAGGACAGTAGAGGATTTATCGGTGAGAACACTCCATCTCTGCCATCCATGTGCATAGTTATCGAACATGGCTTTAGCCTCAAGCGCGTTGACCGAAGGTACACTTAGCTCAGAATCAAGAAAGGCCTGCATGCGTGCGTTGGTTCTCTATGAGATTCCAAAGTCAAACTCATAGTCCGTGAAACTAACCACCAGGACCCTCCCAGGACCCTTAATTTGGCTTATGGAGCTCCTTGTAATGGATACTCAGGCCTAAACAGAGAGCCATCGGAGGAGCTCGTGGGCTGACGGGAACTTAGCAAGGGCTCCATAGGCAATCCTTCAGAAACGAGGCATCAAGAGTGTATGTAGGGATTATTTGGGGAGCATGGAAAAGAAACGGACACCATTGCCTTTTAGGCTTATTATGTAGGAGAATCAAACTGGAAAGAAACTGTAAAATGAAATGGCAACTTCAAATATATCCCGTCGCTCAAAGCATACCCATGACAACACGGAAGAGGACCCGATACAATCCCTTTGCGATTTCTGTGTTCTTTCTCCAGGGTCCTTAACGCGCGGCCCTCATTTCGAGAAGCCCTACACCAAAACCCCTAATCCAATAATTCATAGCCCTAAATAGCCCTGAACATGCTCAAAAATCAGCACGCGGGGCGCCCTATTAAACGAGAACCCTAAACCCTAAACCAGAGAGAGAGAGAGAGAGAGCCCTAAACCCTATACAACCCTAAACCCAATATGTAACCCTAAATAACCCCAAATCCCCATAACCCTATGTATCCCAAGAGGTATTTCACAATGAGCACATCTCGGTGCTGCTTCGGACTTTGCACTCCATCCTGAGCCTCGGCCAGCCAGTGACTGGATATGGTTAGGGGTTAGGGGCTGGCTTAGGGGCTTAGGGTTTAGGGCTTAGGGCTTAGGATTTAGGGGTTTAGGGTTTAGGGTTAAGGATCTAGGGCTGAGGCTTTAGGGCTTAGGCTTCAGGGCTGAGGCTGGGCGTAGGGCTAAGGGATTAGGGTTTAGGATGAGGGTTGTGCAGGGATCACTTAGGGATGGTGGAACAGAAAGTGGAGAATAAGATGGAAAAGAAGATGGAACTGTGCAGATGTTGTGGTTTATAGGGGTTTACCTCAATGCCAGCTCCTAAGATGTTTGCGAAAGGGGAGGGAGGCTCCCAAAGTGAGGGGTGCCAGTTTCGCCCAGGACTATAGTGGTTGGTTTGGGGTTTTAGGTTGCGTTTTTGGAGTTTAGGCTTTGGTTGCTTCAGAAGGGCTCATGCTTAGGGCTTAGGAATTTGGATTTAGCGCAAACCTTTTTCCGCTGTCCTTTCCCTTTTGGTGGGACCTGGTTGTGCTCGAGTTTAGGGCCTAGATAATTGCCAACATTACGGTCCTACGTAAATCCTATGGAACCTGGTCTCTGAAATAGACCTCAAAATGACACAGTGTTTTTGGGTGACGCCTATAATTATTACGTCAATTCAAAAAAAGCTCAGACGAGACAGTTTGCCCTTCCTGGAAATGCACCTGAATCGTAACCTGTTAGTTAGGGTACCTCTAGGAATCCAAATTGCCCAATGTAGATAACATTTAGAGACTTTAGGTGGCAATGTAGGCATCACTTGTGTACTTGGATCCCTAGGGTATGGTTTGGGATATGCTCTGAGCCCATCTGACAACCGGTGTTGGCTTGCCATGACAAAACGGTGCTTGATGTATTTTCGGGGTTCAGGAAAAGCGCAATGCGTGTTGTTAGTTATATGTTATGTGTACAAGCACCGCCACATGAGAGCGACCAAGGAACCATTCTCCCCCGGATTTATTGGCACAACTGCAACTTGGCTTCTGAAGAGATTCTCGAGAAGTTGTGAACAGCACGGGCACCGTTGTAGGTTTCAGAGCCGCAGCTTCTACACTCCGAACCGCTGTGCTTGTTGGGGTATTTGTGTATCAACTAGTTGTGGTGCCATGCGGGGGACTCTATTGACTGAGGTTCCTGCCAGGTCACGTTAAGCTTTGAGACCCAAACTGACGTCTGCACCCAAGCCAGACCACGCGCCTAATGCACAGAAACTCATCAAACTCTATCCAATGCAACGGGCTTGGTGTCCATTGGTGTCCGCAAGAACATCCAGGTATGTCTGCTCTGGAAGGATGCCTTAGAACGTTAAAGGGAAGGAGGTTCCGCTTCTCCTAGGCTTCCTTTTTTGGAGGATGTCATGTAATCCCTGGACGGCATCTACGAGGACGTTGGCCACAGTACGTGGACATGGCTAGAAGTTTTGACCTGACGCGGGATGCAGTCAATCTCTACTGCAGCGGTACGACCTGTTCAGTCACAGCAGCTGATCTGTTCACTACTCGTGCAGCATGACAACGGCAGTGATGAGATGGAGCAAGAACCTCAGTAATGTTGGCCTCGCATTAACACGCCCCTCCCCCTCGATTGATCTATCTCTGTTCTGGGGGAGCCCTGGAATAATAATGCCAAAAATGTGGGTTTCAAAGTCTATTTAGAGTTAATTGATATTCCATTAAAATCATTGCCCTCAAAATTATAAACATGTCTTCGGGACTTTATGAACGTGCGGCTTGCTATAATGGTGTTCCGGCGGCGGGATTTCATACATGCGGGGGTAGTCCTTAATGTGAGGTCAGCGTTAAATGACATCGATGATTATGGTATCGACGACTGGCGTGGACGGGCTTGTAAATCTCAGTCGGCTAGCAAGATGAAGAGATGCAGATCACTCACTCTGAGGATTTTGCTGGATGACGCTAGCGTTCCGACAGACCGCTTCGATCAGAAGCACTGGGAAGCTCTACAGGTGCCCCTTGCTGAGTACTGCCTCTTTGCTGCGCGGAGGTTAGGGTTCCGATATGGTGGGCTTCAGAGTATTGGGTTTCTGGTTGGCATTGCGGCACTAAGTACTATTTCTGCAGGTGCATTGCTGGTGCTGCAGTTCTGTGGGTGGAGTCCCTTTGGTGCTGATGCTGATCAGCAGATTCCTGGTCCTCCAGCGGTACATACACGAGAACCACTCTCTGACAAATGCCTTCTGCACTGCATTTGCAGCGGGATACTCCACTTGCGGAAGACAAGTACCATTCGCAGAAAATCATGTCAGCAGAGTGCTCCTTGTGCTGAAGCGAGAGCACGCATGAATTGTGTCGGTGCTCCATGCCCAGCATATGCTGTAAGAGAGAATTAAAGAGTAGCAACAAAAGCCCTATTGTATTTGCACAAGTCTGGCGCATCAACAACGGAGACCCAATTGTCATCCTTTTCTGATTTCTGATAGGGACCCCATCCTTCCTCTACATCCCTGATACATCCCTCCAGGGGCACCTACTTTGAAAGACCTTTAAACCCCGGACAGTAATTTCACACCCCTATGCCCAAATCCCAAAACCCAACATGCCCTGAAACTCCTTTCAAGAGTAATCCGCCTTCTTTGTGAAATTCCCTATGTGGAGGACTTGTCACGAGCACAGTGAATTTGAGGGTACCGGGTCCCCTAGATACTTCGGCACCTATTATACTGCGGGTTCACAAGGGTACCAAATCTTGGCCAAGCTCCAGTACTGTCCCCGCCCGGCAACAGTCAGTTATCAAGAACAAGAATATTGTAGTGGCACGTCGTCCCTACATTAACCATATGACAGGCTGTTATTGGGTTGGGCGCAATACCCAACCTAAGCCAAATTTAGACCCTGAAGCCTAAACCCCACACGCTACTACAGGCTGTTCCTGGGGGAGTACCAAACAAGTATAGTTCCCTTAAGTAGATAGAATACGGGGTATATGGGGATCTTATTATAATACACCCAAAGCCATATTCTATCTACTTAAGGGGGATTATAAACCCAGGTCAGAGCCTGCCAAAGACGCAGCTCGTGCGGCTCGGCGAGCGTCGAGGGCTCATGATGGCCCGTGCCTTGGGCCTAACGTTGAGTTTTCCAAAAGTGGGGACAAGCTTAGGTCCCTTGGGTCCCCCCTGAAGGGATATGCGTATATCTGATGATACTATGCAAACATAGAAGGTTGAGGCTTAGGGTTTATGTAAGGCTCAGGGCTTCGGGCTTATGGGCTTGGGGGTAATGGCAACATAGTATTAGTCATATTAGTAGTAATAGCAAGCTTCATAGAGGGCACATCTTCACAAGGGAATGCCCAGGTCTAATTCAGATAGGCTTTAGGGTTAAGGGTATCCTAGCTTTGGGGCAAGCCTCGAGTACGGCAAGACTAGGTAGTACTGGGGATTACTAGGTTACCTCCCCCCCCCATAAACCACCCCCCTTGAAGATGCGGTAACGGACGAAGTTTATTGAGGGATTTCCACTGGACGCCCGTAGGACCATCTTGCTCCACAACAGATATGCACGAACATCCTGCGTAACCCCATAGGGCTCGATGGAATCTACTTCCAATAAGGCACCATTTCAAGGCGTGAACACCACAAACATACTGAAACTACCTAGTGTACACTTCACGAGCACCAGCTGAAAATCAGACAAATGAATCTCCCCTAGCACAGTAAACGCCGCATGCCCCCAATGATCAAGACCCTGGGAGGTATTCATTATACGCGGGTGAGTGTTTCTTACTAGGGGGTTAGGGGATCATTATTGGGGGAGGCGATTCGCGTTGACTCTGCGGCTTCCAGGTATGGAGGGCGTTTGGAGGGCCACGGGCGACGTGGTCATTTTCCTGGAGACTTGGACCTTGTTTGCCCGGCTCGAGACAGCCATTTCGCACTTCTGTTTCTCCGAGGGTCCATATACCCAATAGTCATGTATTTGGGATTTGCCTAACAGTAATTATAGTACTGGTTTTGGGTAAGTATATGATTATTAGGGACTTGGAACCTTAGGGTTTGGTAAGGAATTCCCATGGTTGCTTGAGGACAGCCCCATGTATGGAAAGCTTAGACGTCACACTTGAAACCCTACACCCCAAACTTCAACCTAAACCCTAAGCCCCAAATAGTAGTTTCCACTTTATTCTCCATTATCCCAATAAAAACCCAACATAACATCTAATCCCTCAACCCTATGAAGCTCCAGCTCTCAGGACAGCCATATCGAGGCTACTCCTGGCTGGATGCAGCCACTCTTAGCGAGAATCAAGGAGCAGCCTCTGCATATTGTTTGTACCTGATGGTTTACTTTGCTCTAGTGTTACATGTCTTGCAAACTTTGGGACCACTGAAGACAAGCAGTGGTATCAACCCTAAACCCTAAACCTTAAACCCTAAACCCTAAACCCTAAAGGAAACAAGCTGTCCTTGGTTTTGACTTTTAAGGGTTGCGCCGTTAATTCCAGAAGCTGCTCCTGGAGATACTCTATCATCTGGGAGTAGATGGAGCTGCACAGGTGCAGGGGTAATGCTGGGATGATGCAGATAGTTTGCGATGAGGTTGCTGCTTCAGAGAGCTCTCTAGAACCAGGCAGATTGGCTCCAGCACCTCTTTTGAAATTCCAAATACAAGAGGTCGATATTATATTGAATACAGCTCAGAGCCAACCAAAAGGTCCTTAAACCCTAAACTGCGGGGAGCCCCAAGAGTTTTTCTGCTACTTAGGTTGATGCTCAAGAGATTGACAGGGAGCCCTACATGTGCGACGAATTGGTTGCGGGAAGCCGTTACTCACTAGTTCTTGTAGGGGATATGGAAATATGTCTTAGAGGAATTTAATTATACAGTGGTAATTTTCCCTGATTTCCTACTAGGATACTAGGAACCAGTAAGGTTAAGCATCTTGTTGTGCCAGTATGTCTAAACCACTGGGTTCCTTCAGGTGCCCCCAAAATGCAGTCGGTTGTCATTATGCGCTGATGCTTGCAAGTCTTGCAGGGGTGCCCAGATAGCTCATGCAAACCCTAAACCCTAAACCCTAAATAGTAGTTTCCATTTTATTTTCCATTATCCCAATATAGCCCCAAACCCTAAACCCTAAACCCTTAAGAGAATGGAGATTCAAGCGGGTGGCCTAGGTCTTAAGTCGGGGATGCAGAGGCTTCGAGGCTTAAAGCTATGTATGCCCCCCAAGATCCCCGCGTGCACAGCATGCCAAGGCTGATCACTTCGCATAGGGTGTAAAGGTTTTCTTTCAATAAGGTGCTTCCAGGACATAAGTTGCATAGTGCTTGCGGTGGGTTCTCAAACTGATTTATACAGTTTTCTTGGGATTTGTTGATTTGTTGGGTTTCAAATGAACTGGACCCTCTTTTTGAATAGAAAACGGGGGACTGCCATTTGAGAAATACCTTTGCTTGTGTAGGACCACTTGCTGGCAAGGATGCCGAAAGCCATGTTCTAATCTTTCAGGGTCTAGGGATGAGGTTTACTGGTTGTTAGTAGGGAGGAAGGGAGTATATTCCCTATATAATCCCTATTGTCTCGTATTCCCTACTGAACCAGTAAGTATTCGAATTGTTGAGGCTTCTACATTAGCTTGCGTCCGAGGATGAGGTTTCGGCCAGGGCTCACGGTCCCCGTTCCCTACAGAAAATAGACGCAGCTACACTAAATAGGCTTACTCGCTCTTAGTAGCAAATATATGGGCATATAGTATATATATAATATAGGTTTATATTCCCTACTAAGACCCAGGAAGGAAAAAAACACGCAGCTAGAGTAACTTTGATGATTCTTGACTGGTCGTAAACACCTTCATGCTGGAGGAGGACCCAAAGAAGGTCGTCCTGCCCAAGGTGGACAGCATCGATGCAGAGTCTTGGCACAAGTTACCATCTGCGCTTGAGAATCCAGTTTGCAGCTACAGCTTCTCTGGGCTTGTGCAGACTAGAAGTTATTTTCTTCTGTTTCATATGACTTGATATGTTAACGCGAGTTTCAGACACAGAGTCAGTGTGACCGGCGTGACCCGAGCGCTTTTTTTGCAGGAGACCTTTCAGTACACATCATCGCCGCGCGACGGGATTGGCGTTCTTGGCTCCTTGGACGGCTTCGCAATCGGCCTGGTTTGGGTTTCAGAGATTGCCCTATGGATCCAAATAGCCCAATGTAGGTAATATTTACAGACTTAGGGCCCAATGTAGGTATAGTTTGTACATTTGAAGCCCGAGGGTTAGGGTTAAGGTCTGGGGTTTATGGTTTCATGCAAGACTGAGGTTTCTGCTAAATCCTGTCCCCCCCAACCCACATTCTGATATACCCCAAGAAGACCGACATCTCTATAGTCCCCTTTAAGTAGATAGAACATGGAACTGCCCAATATCATAATAAGATCCCCCTATACCTTGCGGGTGGTTATAATACGAGGCTGCCAAAAGGCAGGTTTCCAAGTTTAAGATACACTTTCTCGTATAATCGGGGGCATGATATGCCACCAACTCTGAACAATGAAGCCTAGAGGGTAAGCTGCCTAAGCCCTTCGCCCAAGGATTTTCCTGGAGCCTGGGGCAACGGCCATGGCCTGTGGCAGACTACGGGCAGGACTCCGATGAGTATTGGGGGGGAGGGCAGTCAAGAGCCACTAAGGAAATCAGGATGTAGGGTTTTGGGTTCTTTGGGTAGTTCCAAGTTCCGAGGATAGCTACGCAGGGGTGATGAAATAAGGGGAATAGGACAGGTATTAGTTTAGGCTTGTAGGTTCAAGGTTAGAAGTTGAAGCTTTTTTACCTATACCCTCCATCTACCCTCTACGTACCTTCCACATCTGCTATTAGGGACCGTCTACCCCTGTGTGAGGGTACGAGGAGGTTCAGGGTAGGTTTGCAACCTGCTTTGACTTCCTCTTTTGGTCAGAGCAAGTCTGCAGAAGACTTGTGTGCACGAAGACATGTGGGGTTTCCTGAAATAAGAGGTACCTTTCTGGATACCCATCATAAGGATTATAGTATTTTGAAGTCACCATGGGGCACCTTGTTTATGGAAACTACCCAATGGGTATCTGTACAATTTGGAGGCCTACACCACGCCCCTGTTGCTTCGAAAGCAACCAACCCTAAAATCTGCTACCACCCACAGAGGCTTGCACTGTGGTTTCAGATGTTGGTTCATTGCTATGCCATGCAGCACTGAGAGGAGATGCGAGAAAGCTTTGGTTCCAGAAGCCCAAGTGTAAGCGTGCCGTTTCTAGCGAATCGAAGAAGTGCCAATGACAGCAATAGCAAAGCAAAGCCCCTAAACCCTAAACCTTAAATTTATCTAAGGACTGCTTTGATAGTTTCGATCGATACAGGCCCACCAATATAAACCCCAACATTCAATAATCCTTTTTATGGGGGCCCCCGGAAAAGGATCACTAATTTTTACGGAACCTCTTTTTCGAGCTGCCCCCAAGATTCTGCTGCCCCCAAGCGAGGACGGAACGCAGCCTTCACCTTCGCCAATCATGCCGGGCGGTCTCTTTGGAGCTGACCGAAGAGAGTTCTCAGGCTGAAGGGGTAGGCATACGCATAGATGATGGCCCGAATCCCATAGATGGCGATTGTTTAGTTATTCTAGAGGCTAGGTGAGGGCTCCACAGACTTCCACCATTAATGACAGGTGAGCTGTTTGTGGCGCAGGAACTCGGCGGGGTTTTCCCTAGAGGCCTCCGCTATTTTCAAAGGTTTGGGCTTAGGGCAGGGTGCAAGATTGTGAGGGATGGATGAAGGTTAAAGGTTTAGGGCTCCTGTCCGTCTTGGTCGTTTTGAAATGCAGCTAGGTCACCCCCAAGTGCCACAAGGCAGACGTAATTAGTATACAAGCCTCTATACAGTTAGGGCTAATATTTCAGACGTTGGTGCCCAGCGTGTGTGGTCTCGGGGATTTCGGACTTAAATTTGACATGTCTGCGTCTGTACTTGAACGCCCTGCGGCTCACGGCATGAGGGTACTGGCGGTTGCTGGGAATGCTGGAGCGCAAGCCGTGCAATGCTGAGATATGGCCACGGCTGCCTGAAGAAGGAACGCAAGACTTGTAACTATTTAATAAACTTCCGCATTTGAGGGACAGATGGCCTGGCATTCTCCGAGGTTCCTGATGCTCGGAGGCTACGACCAGGTATTCTGGCAGCAGTCAAGTATACTGGATTCCCAAACCCCAAGGGTCCAAGTACCCAATAATCATATAGCTACCCAAAACCTGTGCTGTAATTATTATTATCCAATACCCAAGTGCGTAATTATTGGGTATTTGGACCCTTAGGGAAAGTACTATACAGGAGCCCTTTCTGCGTTTGTTGAATTACCAGCATTTCCCCTGCCGTTCCTTGAGAGCATGCCCTGTAGCTACTCCCAAACAAACTCGCGCAATCCCGTTCGCCTGGTATAAAACATTTTAGGTTGAAACACGAATACCCCTTACCATATGACAAACTATTCTGCCTGATGGTACCATATTACCGCACTGGGCAATACTTGACATTTCTGAAGCCTCGCAAGCGGGGATCTATGTGGCCGTTTGGACCACTGCTTGGTTGCTCCCAAATTCAGGGCTTACTTCTTTCGAGCGCACCTCAAGTTCCTAAAATCAACGCACGAAGAACCTATCTGGGGGTTTCCCAAAATTAGGCATGGCATCTTGGGGGTTTCTATACTTAGGATTGTAGGATTTTGGGGTCTATATGGGTGATTGTCAAAATTATGGTCCCTTTTGGATCCCTATTATAATACGGCACCTAATATTTAGGATACCCAAAAAGGGGCCATAATTTTGACAACCACCCATATTGGGGTACCCCTATTTAGGGCTTCTATCATGTTTACATGCATTCACACGCAAAGGAGATGCGCCTCTACGGTGGCGAGGAGATGGAGCCGCTTCAGCTGAATTTGGCAAGATCCCAAAATCGGAGTTTGCAAAAATTAGGACTTTTTGGAGTTGTATGGACCAAGACCTTCCTTGTACCCTTAATTGGGGATATATGGTCCCTAATAGTGGGTACTTAGGCCCTAATAGAGGGTAGGAGGAGGGTCTAGGGAAGGATTGTAATATCTTCGGGGGAGCATATGAAGGGGACCTTTTTTGCGAGGGAGATTTGCTTTTTCGAGGCTAATATGTCATGGCCCCTTCCGGCTATTCAAAGATGGGACCTCCTAGTTCCATCTTTTTGACAAGGGACCTGCGATCGAGGAATCATGTTTTATTCCATTGGAGAAGCTTTTAGATTTGAAATCCCCGATGTGTCTCTCAGGATTTGCGGCGATACCCCCCAAAAAACGTAAACCTTATGTACCCTAGCCCCATTTGCTGTTCTTGGTAGGGAATAAGGGAATATAATCCCTATATCCCTAAATAGTATAGTCCCTACTAAGAACCAGTAACCCTGGGATTCTGAGGATCAGCTTCCGGACCTGGATGTGTGGGGGCGCCATTGAGCATGTGCCCTGCTCCCATGTGGGCCACGTATTCCGGACTCCCAAGTACTGGCAAGGCGCTGCCTGGTCGTCAAATCCAGTGGGTTTGTTCTCCAAAGATTGGGCCCATATTGGCTATAGATTATATTACGGCACCTAATTGTGGGAACTATCCACATGGTTCATGGCTAGGAATCTCACAAGATTCACGAAGATGCTGCGTAAGTTTAAGCCCTGACTGACACAGGAGCTTTGGATTCACACTTGGCGGATCCGTTGCTTCCTTTCAAGGTACCAGAAATTACAAGCCGTCCCATGATTCTGCACGTGATTGCCGCACTTGGGCCTGAAAGCGCCTCCAGCATGATATGCCCCTAAACCCTAAAGTCTAAACCCTAAATAGTAGTTTCCATTTTCTTTTCCACTAGCCCCATATACACCCAGTATGTGGCGGGGCCAACGGCTGACGACGTTCCAGGTAGGCGGGCAAAACTGCAGGGAAGATCCCGCAACAGAGGGTGTCATCCCTGGTGGAAGCCTCCTATATAGGACCAAGATGGGGATATTCCTACAGTACCACGAACAGTACAGGGAGTTCTAGCACCCAAGATACATCAGATCAGATGTCCTTTTGGCCCCCAAACTCTAAACCTCTAAGGATCCAAATAGCCCACTGTAGGACATATTTACAGACTTTAGGGCCCAATGTAGGCATTATTTGTATACTCGGATCCCTATATATCCCCTGTTATAAGCCCAGCTTTCATTTCATGTTCCATGTTCTTTTCCATTTGATTCTCCACTATTTGCATTATTTGTACACTTGGATCCCTAAACCCCAAAACCTTAACCCTGGAAACCCTAAACCCTAAACCCTGGAAACCTGTTGTTCTACAGCAAACACTTCGCCATTGGCTCGCAGGTCAGGTCTACGAAGTTCCCGGCGAGGAGCCGCAGTGGAAGGTTTAGTCTGGAGAATGAATTCCATGGTTTAGGGTTTAGGGTTTAGGGGCTGCTCAAGCCAGGACTTCAATATGTTATAATCCTTGTTTTTGCAGCTTCAAAAGAGGTGCCCCTAATTTTTGGAAGCCCGAAGTCCCCAATGAACCATTATACCGTCCCAGTTTGCGTTTGATGTTCCATTTTCCTGTCCATTTGATTCTACAGTGTTGGGGTAGCCGCGCTAATTTTTCCAAACTTCCAAGTCTGCAACACGCAATGTAAGCCCAAAGGGTCCATGCAGGCATATAGTATATGCTTAGGGTCCTAACAGGCTGCCATATACCTGCGTGGGGCCTGGGTATAGCTCTATAGGGCCGTTTGGGGCAACGTCTCTTGCCTTCGATTTTTTCATGGTATGTGTTCTGTCATGTGGACGTTTTTTTTGGTTCATGTCCACAACCCACATCATGCGAGCTATAGTCTAAACTCCTTAAAGGGGATTATGTAGAGGAATTAGGGGGATATTAGGAGTTTAGACTATAGCTCATATGCGGTTTAGGGTTTCTAAAGGGTATAGGGATCCAGACCTACCTGCACCTAAAGCAGAAGCACTGACATGATCTTTGTTGGTGCTTAAGGGAGAGCTGACGAGTGGATCCCGATAACTCTCCTACATCATCCCCATATATACGAACGCTGCAATATTTGGACCCAGAAAGGCCCTAAACCCTAAAACCCTAAAACCCTAAAACCCTAAAGCCCTAAGCCCTAAACCCTAAGCCCAATCAGCACCCAAAGCTCATAGGTTGTTCAAAAGGCAATGTTTCTGCACAATTTAGCGAGTCCGGGCAAAACCCTGCAACCCAAAACCCAAAAGCCCTCAAACCCTAAAACGTTAAACCCTAAAATCCTAAAACGTTAGACCCTAAAACCCTAAACCCTAAAACCCTAAAACCCTAAAACTTGAAACCCTAAAATCCTAAACCCAAAACCCTGAACCCTCGATCCTGAAGCCCACCAGGAGATCGCCCGGAACAAGCTTCGTGCCGCGGAGGTCTGGCTGGACGATTACAAGAAGTCTCTTGTCTGAACACAACTTAGGGTGTAGGGTTTGGATTAAAGGTTTTGGGGTTTAGGGTTTTAGGGTTCAGGGTTTAGGGCTTACTGGTGCTAAGTGGGGAATATAGAAGAATGGAGAAGAAAATGGAAGCAACTATAGGATTTAGGATCTAGGGTTCAGGGGATGGAAAAGAAAGTGGAAGCCACCATGTTATTCAGGATCTACTGCTCCCATAAGGCAATTCCGTAATGGAATGGCACAGTAGTTCTAACCCGCAGAGCCCATTCTTCATTCTCGAGTAACCGCCTGTAACTCAGGCTTTGGAACTTTTCTCGGATTGTCGGAATCTAGGCTTGAGGTTCCGAGGTGGTGTTGTGAGACTCCGGGACTTTCATCCTAGGCATTTCTAAGAAGCAGGTACGCTTGGAAAGCTAGGCTCTTATTTGCTGGATGTTGAATTCGCTTGTTGTGCTGCATTCGTGTTCAAAATAAAGGTATGCATATGGGTGGTTGTCAAAATTATGGCCCCTTTTTGGGTATCCTAAATATTAGGTGCCGTATTATAATAGGGACCCAAAAAGGGACCATGATTTTGACAACCACCCATATCAAAGCTTAACTATGGATTGGGAACATCCTGGCTCAGGGCCTGGATTTTGGCCTGCATTGGGCCGCTGACTCATTACGCTTCTTGCTTCACATGCGAAGTTGTCCCGGGGTATGTATGGGAGACTATAAGTCTTGAATAGCCGATTTCTAGGGGGCCCCACACCACTGGACGTGGAACCCCACAAACCCCAAAAGCAAAACTGCATCAATTCTGTACATTACAGCCCTGCACCAAAGCTGTAATGAAATCTGAGATGCAAACCTCATAAGACCCACAGGTCCTGAACATCTACCTGGGACTCCAATTACCTACAGCTTGGCAGTAGTTACCGCTTAAATGAACCAGCAACTAGTATGTGTGACCCATACAATTATAGATAAGCCCTAAACCAGGCTCATGCAATACGCTACAATGCTGTTGCCAAAGCGCCTCTCCCTGGGCGATGTATCGGTCTGGGACTTGATCCCTGCGACTCGTGTAGGGTGGAGGTTCAGGGAGCAAGAATCGGAGAGGTTTGCACTGGTTGTTTTCTAACAGGGGAACCGGAATGTAGATGCCAAAATACTAGGATCATCATTATACAGGGGCCCGCCAAAAAGTACCACTCATTTTGGTAAATCCCACATATATAATATATAGAGATATATAGAGGAATGGAGGCTGAGTTTGGACTTACTGTGCAAAAGTATGCTCATGGCAGATGCCATACCAGGCAGGGTATAAGAAGGTGGCAGACCTTGCTCGATTGGTGCTCTTAGCATTTCTTCCATTGTTGCTTTTGGCAGGGATAATTTAGGGGCTTAGGGGCTATATAGGGATAATGGAAAAGAAAACGGAACCCACAATTTGGGGTTTAGGTTTTTCACTATTCTTGTTGTCAGTGGACCCATGCGTGCTACGGTTGCAGTAGCCAGATTAAACAAAGGATGGGCCCCAGGGCCAAGTCGCACAGGTTTAAACCTCTGCACTTTCAACAGCGTGTTGAGCGGTTGTAACAAGAGGTCATGAAAGGCTGGATATGAGAACATCAAACATGCCACAATATTGATAGCCGTCTGTCTTATCTTTGGAATAGCATGAGCAGTAAAATTAATTCAAGCACAAATGCTACTGAGCCATTCCCGCAGAGCATGATGATGAGGGTAGCTTCCAAAAAGTGAGTCCATGTGGGACGAGCAAGTTCAACAATCCACACTTACAAGCCTAACTCGCAAGACTGAGAGTAAGCTGCATATCGCATTGTTCTGTATAAATGTTTAAATGGCCACCGCTATTCTGGCACACGAAGGTTATGGAAGGGTAGCTTCTTGAAACCATACTAGGGTTCAGGATGAGTGACCTGTTTGCCATAATAAAAGGGCCGATGAGCTATGTTCTCCTTGAGAACAAAATGTAGAAGCCCCGAACCAAATCCTCCACGACATTTAATCAAACATGCACAGGCCCGAAAGTCTCTTCGACAAAGACTTGGCTGTGCAGGCTTTGAGTGGCCTGGACCTCAGTTCCGCCACGGTGCTTGCAGTCGGCAGTGGACGGCAAGCTGCAAATCATCCTAGGAAATCGAGTCTAAGGTATCTCCAAACTGTGGCGCAGGGCATCTGGGCAGTGATATGGAAGCTTCAAGTCCTTGATTTGGCAAAGGGCTGGCTTCAGGTCTGAAAAGGCAATGTATTCGCTTTCCACCAACACTCACATGCCATCATGTCTCCCAGGAAACCCCCAAACCCTAAACCCATGGATGTACCCCTAGGGCTCCCAGTTGCCTAAATAATGGGAACTGGGTTAAATATATATATATATAGTTACATAGCCCAGCAACCTACTACTCAGGTAACTGGGAGCCCTAGGGTACTACATAGGCTCAGAAAAGCCCAGCACACTGGACTGCCAGCGCGCTGCATCCTCTCAAGCTTCGTGAACGCTTGGGGGGGGTTCTAGTCGAGAATATGGGAAATGTTATGTACGGATTTTTATGGGGACATTTATATTCCCATATACCTTACTAAGCACTAGTAAGAATAAGGTTCTTCAACCCAGATAAACAACGACAGACCCAGACACTATTGAAACTCGGAGAGTTCAAGTTCAAATGTCAGGTTGTGCGCATGGCTTGAGTGTCGCATTAGGACAGAATATTTTCAGATTCCATGATTCCAAGTATCCACATGTTGAAGCGTCCCACACGTTCGCCCCTGTATTTGGGCATTTATCATGTGGATCCTTTCGGATAGATGTCCACTTCATGTATCTCTGACTGCTGTTCAGGGAGTTAAAGGGTTAGGGTTCAGGGTCTCACTATAGGCTTCAGGGTGTAGGGTTCAGGGTTTGGTTGCCCGGCCTGCAGCCGTTTATCAAAGCTACATGCCACAAAAGCTGGTGACTCGCATCACACACTCCTCTTCACCTAGTTAATCCCTGCAATTCCTTTCCCCGAAAAATGGAACCTCAACACCCCTGACATCAAAATGTTGAGCGCATTCTAGAAGGGTACCCTATTTTGGGCGTGTAATATTATCAAGTGCTATTATTGCTGTTGTGGGGGGGGGCATGTATCATTGGGGTAGGGGATACTTGTATCCCAGCAGAGGAAATCTGATAGTACAGACCCTGAGCATTGAATTGAACTTGGAGCCGTGACCAATTCCACCCTTGGCCCCTAAAAGATTGAATGCTCAGGAACCTCTGTGGTTACCAACATGCTGCCAAAGTCCGTATAGTCGGGATTTTATGGTTTCGTGATGATGTATTGGGCGGACTCTGATCTGGAAAGCTGCCGCATGCGTGCTATTCAAAACTGATCCTAAACCCTGAGCCCCTAAACCCTGTAGTTTCCAGTTCATATTCCATTCTCTTGTCCATTTGTTTCTCCATTCTCCCTGTTCCGAGCATGCGCATCTGGGCTTTCCATGCAGAAGGCAGGCCCAGCCTGGCCAGGGGTCTGAACGATGCGTCAGCTGAGGTGCGGGGAACGTCTCGTAAAAAGTTCTTAGGGGAGGATACAAAGTAGCGCCCCTTAGAGGGGAAGGTAGGGGCTATGTAGTGAATGTAGTGATTAGACAGAGAATGTATAAAGATGTAGGGTTAAGGGCCTTGAATACCAGGGTCACGTTTAGAATAAGGACTAAATCATGTCGGAGGTATTCAAAGGAAGCCCTTAAGTTTGGAAATTCTTATTACAGGTGTTCAATTGGGCTCAGGGTTTGGGATTCGGGTTTAGGGTTTGGAGTGTTGCGTCTGGAGTGTCGGGTATGGGGTTTCGGGCTCCAGGGTTTAGGACGGCTTTCTTCAATTCGCTGTATAGTTCCAGGTATAAGATGAGTCCTTAAACTTATAGTCCCCCTTAAGTAGATAGAATATGGCTTTGCGTACATTATAATAAGATCCCCATATACCCCATATTCTATCTACTGAATAAGGGGGACTATATGATGTACTAGAATCTAGAACAGGGGTGCCTATTTGACTTTCACCTTCTGGCAATCAGTAAATGTTCTTTTCCACTATCCCTATATACTCCCTATGTAGGATAACCCTAAACCCTATACCCTCCTATGGCATTAAAAATGCAAACTCCTACATGTTGAATCCCACGGAATCGCCATAATCTGCATGTGAAATTCCCAAAGACGTTTAGTTGGAGGTTCAGGGTATTTGGAAGCCAGCTATAACAGGTACTTCTACCCCGGATACAACCAATAGGGGACGTTTTAGGGGGCTTGCACTTGGATACCCTAGACCCTAAAACCCTAAGCCCTATACCCTATACCCTAAACCCTAAACCTTTACCCTAAACCCTAAACCCTGCACTTACACAATAAAGTTTCCTAAACTTCCAAACAAATTTAGACAGACCCCAGGTTGCCAACCGCTTGAAGAGCCTGAAGAAGCCAGCGAAACTTGCCACGAGCTGAAGCTAAGAGCCCCAGTACCCAAATGAGCTGTAGTCTAAACTCCTTAAAGGGGGTTATACAGGGGTTATATATAGGATTATATAGGGTTTAGGGATTAGTGTTTAGGGTTCAGGGTCTAAACTTCTTAAAGGGGGGTATATGAGGGCATTATATAGGGGATTATTATGGGGGTTATTAAGGGGGAGACTAGGAGTTTAGGCTATGGCTCAAATAGAGTCGAATTTGGCCCTAAACCCCTAAACATGAAACCATTTAGGCCGGGTTTAGGGTTCTGCAAGTTCTGTACAGGGAGTCTACAATGGGGTTTGCGGCGTTCGTAGCATATCTGACAGTCTAGGCAGGATCTACCGAAACGAGGTCAGGCAGGGATTATGCGGGAGTGCTTTAAAAAATCACGATGTCTTCATTGTATTGGCTGCAGCAGTATGCCAGCACAGAATATTCATCTTGGGCACTGGGAATTTTTGCTTGAGTGAGAGTACTCTTGGCTTTGAAATGTATGTAGGGTTCTGGACTTGGCGTTTTTGGCAAGGGTTCGTGGCCTTGTGTTAGGATTCAGGCTTTTTTAAGCTGTACGTTTACATGAGCCATTTTGCGCATTCTCGAAACATCCTGCAGCAACGTATCCTCTACATTACTAAAAGCATGCTGAATATGGTAAGGTCAGGATGTAGTTCTTAGATTTGTGGTCCTGGTTGTCCTTCACAGGTTTTTGCTTTGCGGCAAGCTAAGACACTAGGCGCAGCCAGAGCGTACAGCAGCTTCTTTCTCCTCATCTGGACAACTGGCGGACGAATCCCAAACTCCTGCGGCGGACGCTGCAGGATCTGAAAGCTGGAGAGCGCGCGGATGTTGTCGGCGCACTGTTCGAACTCATTGAGAAACACAAGCTGAAATTAGGCGAGGGCGTTTGGAAATTCGTGGGCAGGTGGGGTATGTGTTTCTCTCAGGTTTGGGGCTAGGTAAATGAGCCCCGACCAGGCCTTCCAGAGTACACCATGGCGATCAGTACCTGCGCAAAGGCAAAGTACTGGCCTCTGGCACTGCATCTTTTCGCAGGCATGAAAGAACTTGCCAATCTTGCGCCCAGCGTCATCAGCTATAATGCTGTCATAAGCTCTTGTGAAAAAGGTCAACAGTGGCCATTTGCACTGCACATTTTTACAGACATGCAAAGATGCCGGATTGTCCCGGACGTCATCAGCTACAGTTCTGCCATCAGCTCCTGCGAAAAGGGCCAGCAGTGGCAGCTTGCACTTCACATCTTCGCAGGTATGGGCAAGGCGAACATCCAAGCCGATGTCATCAGCTATAACGCTGCAATCAGCTCAGTTGAGAAGGGTCAGAAGTGGAAGGAGGCGGTGAGCCTGTTCCAGGGCTTGCGTGAGGCCTCACTGCATCCAAGCGTTATTACCTACAACGCGACAATGAGCTCCTGTGAGAAGGGGCATCAATGGCCACTTGCAATGCACCTTTTTTCGCAGATGCAGGAAGCCACGACCGAGCCGGATGTCATTAGCTACCGTGCTGCGATCAGTTGCTGTGAGAAGGGCCAGCAGTGGCAGCTGGCACTGCAACTGTTCGCAAGTATGCACGAGGCTAACGTTAAACCCAACGTCATGAGCTACAATGCCACAATCAGTGCCTGTGAGAAAGGTCAGAAATGGTTGCTGGCGCTGCATTTGTTTGCATGCATGCAGAAGTTTCAGGTTGAGCCCGATGCCATTAGCTACAATGCCACTATCAGTTCCTGTGAGAAAGGCCAGCAGTGGCCAGTGGCCCTACATCTTTTCTCAAGTATGGCAGAGGATCAGGTTGATCCCGATTCGATCAGCTACAGCTCGGCCATCAGCTCCTGTGAAAAGGGGCAACAATGGCAGCTTGCATTGCATCTGTTTGCAGACATGCGAGTGTCTAGAGTCGGACCAGACGTTTATAGCTGCAACGCGACTATCAGCTCTTGTCAGAGAGGCCAGCAGTGGCCTGTTGCTTTACACCTGTTCGCGGACATGCCGAGAGGCCGGATTGATCCTGATGTCATTAGCTACAATGCTACCATCAGCTCCTGTGACGAAGGGCAGCAATGGCAGCTGGCCCTACACCTCTTCAACGGCATGCGCAGGGCCGAGGTTGATGCTGATGTCATCAGCTACAGTGCAGCCATCAGCTCTTGCAGTAAGGGACAGCAGTGGCAGCTTGCTTTGCATTTGTACGCAGGCATGCATGAAGCCAAAGTTGACCCCAACTTTATTTGCTATGGTGCCGGCATCAGCTGCTTTGAGAAGGGCTAGCTCGGAGCTGGCGCTGAAGTGGATTTCCGCGCAGGATTGCAACTTTCGCAGTTTAATCGAAATGCAATGAACTACGGTGATGCAACTATGTTTTCAGATGGTCTCACAGAAGCGCGCTGCTGCATCTATGTCCGAGCACAAAGTCGAGGTGGGCGCAGCAAGTGCTATGACGAGACCTGTGGCGGAATCAGCATCCAGTTTCCTAGGTGTCATGCATGGGGCCCCAATATGTACATCTCCAGATTGACAAGCACTCTGGACTGTATGCAGGCTTTCGCTTGAAGAGC